GCGAAGAGGGTACTGCGTTACTTGTGTAGTACATCGGGCATGGGGCTCGTGCTTGGAGGACGGGGTTCAGTGGTACTCACAGGACACTCTGACGCTTCTTGGGCTGACGACCAGGCGACTCAGCGTTCGTCATAGGGTTACACCTTTAGTCTTGGCTCTGGTTCTGTCTCATGGATGTCCACTCGTTCTTCTTTTGTGCTTGGCTCCAGCTGCGAGGCCGAGATCTATGCTGGGGCCATGGCTGCACAGGAGCTACACTGGCTGACCTACCTGCTGACCGACTTGGGGGAGCGGCCTCGTTCTCCTCCAGTTCTGTACCTCGACAACAAGGCAATGCTTGCCTTGTGTCACGAGCAGAGATCGGAGCACACAATGAAGCTGAGCTGCAGCAGCGTGGTCAGCTGTGCCTTGCTTACATGGCCTCGGGCCAACACTGCTGATGTCTTCACCAAGGCCCTTGGGTCTGGTGATCATCAGCGTTTCTGCGCTGCTCTTGGGCTTGTCCCCACTGTGCCTCACCTGCTGGTTGCTTGACTTGCTCTTGTTGTACACTGATATATATATTTATGCCTTCATGTTTACTCTTGCTAGGTTGTGATCAGTGTACTGTCATGCTATTATAACTCTGCATGTGAACTGGCCTTGTCGCCGCTTGCTTGTGCTCAGATTGTGTGGTGTCCTTGAGATCCACCCTGAGCTTTGCTTTGCTTTGTTCTCCTGCTTGACTAGTCTTGTGACCATCTGTTGTGTTTGCTATCTCCCACTTTGCCTATGGGGGTGTGTCAAATTGTATGTTTGTGTTATCTCTAGGCTATAGTGGGTTAGCCTACAAAAGGTACAACACTCTAGGGTTAGGACTACTTGTACTGCCCTTCCTTCTCAATACAATCATTCCTGCCTGCTTATTCTAACAATAATTTACCTATATACAGGACTCATGGGACCTCTTACAGAAGCCTTGTACACACAGTCCTCGCCAAATTCAATACCACCAATTTCACACCCCCTTTGTTGTGACTTGTGCCAGTGAAGGTGGAGTGGCGGTTTTGCACAAATGCCAGTGCGGAATTGCACAATTGACATGTCTAGTCACGTGCTGACCTCGAGACGGTCAAATTGTACAATTCCGCAAATAGTGCACCTGCCCATTTGCGAGCGCATCGGATGATAGAATCCCAATCCACCAGCCGCAGAGTTCCTTTTGATCTCAATGATGGCCCTTCGTTACAATGCAAAGTATGTGTTCGAGCGATTGGGGAATGAAGGAAAGACTCCCACATGGTGCATGCATCAAGGCAAATTTTGAGGTGTGAACGATGTTTTTACGATCCCGCCAACTTTCACAATGACATCATTCAGTGGGTTCACGCGGCATCGATGCAGTACTAATATCATCATGTCAATTTAGTATTGCGCTGTGATAGGTTTTTCCATTTCTAGATTTTGTACGAGTGAAGCCGTGTCGTGTCATCACATATAAACTGTGGCAGAGCCTTGTGCCATGCCTTTTCTGATGTGATTGCTGATCGCATGGATCACTTTATACTACTCTATTTTCATGGACATGGTCGCCAGGTTGGCCGGCGGCTTGCTGTAACCCAATGTTTTCGAAGACGACATCCCTTCGCCGTCTAGTTCATACGACTCTAATAGGTCGACCGAGTGAAAGAGAAGGGCAAGTCAGCACGCTCATTGGTACCTATTGTTGCTCGAGGACCTGCATGGCATGGGAGACAGTGAGTTGTGGGATCTCTTTTAGGATAAACCATTCAATACTGGACCGTTGGCATGGAATACTACATGCAGCCATACTTTGAGAGGTACTCATCACCCATGAGGTCGCTTGCTTGGTCCGGCGGTGAGAATAGAGGGAGTGGCCATAGTGGCAGTAGGAACAGTAGCAGTAGTAGCAGTAGTAGTTGAAGCAGTAGTACGGTAGGAATAGGAATAGGAGTCGCTGCAGGTGGGGCACAGTAGGGCGGCGCGGCTCGGTTCGGGCGGTAAGCGAGCTCAGGTGTGCGGGAAGCGTGCACAAGTGTGCGGGAAGCGAACTCGGGTGTGCGGTAAGCGAACTCAGGTGTGCGGGGAGGGGGGGGGGCGCAGGGCGACGCGCGGGTCCACGGGAGTGGCGCAACGAGTTCGGGCGGCGCGGCTCGGCTCGGGCTGGGCTACGCGGCGGTGCGCGACTGGGGGCGTGCGCGTGGGCGGCTGTAGCGGGCGGGCCGTGGCTGCGCGTGGGCCTGACGAGCGCGCGGGCGGCGGCCTAGAGAGGGCGTCGCGGCGGCCTACGGGCGTGGCTGCGACGCTCTAGGCGGCGGTCGACGGGCGGCTAGGGGCTGCTCGTGGGCGGCGCCGGTCGCACGGGCGGCTAGGGGTCGGCGCGCGCTCAGAAAAGGGGCCGCGCGCGGGCGGCTAGCGGGCTACGCGGGCAAAAACGGGCCGCGCGAGCGACTAGCGGGCGACGCGGCCGAAAAAGCGGGGTGCTCGAGGGCGCACTAGGCGTGAGGCGCACGAGGGCGCGATTAGGAGGAGGCGCACGAGGGCGCAACTAGCGGAACGATGGGCCCTTAGGTAAGCGGTCCTAGGGCTAGGACCTACGCTCTTAATACCATGTCAGAATCAACAAGTGATTGAACTATAAACATTGGGTGATACAAGTAGCAAACCCTAGAATTATGTACCCCGTAAAGGCTAACCCGCTATAGCCTACACAACAATAACATATATAATGTTTGACACTACCTTCCTGTGTGCCCAGGTTGGGCGAACAAGTCTGCCTAGGCTAAATTGTGAAGTAGACTCTCAGCTGCCCAAATGTATTACGCAATAATATATACTCAAATGAGGCTGGTGTTAGCATGGCGAGTGGAAAGTTAGATTAATTTAGCCTGTGATTACCGTGCATGCAATGCACGGCTTGGGTGGCATCTTAATGTCTTGAGCCATTGATGAGTGGTTGATAAGTTTGAAATTTACAACCCCACACCCTTGAGTTAAGTTTGGTGACGATGTTGGTCACACTCAGCCTCAACGGCCTAGAGCCGACCACGGCCTCATGTGGTGCAATCAACCCTGCAGTCGCGGCTGCGTCAACCAGTGTCCCAACACCTGCTAAAAAGAAACCCGCAGTGCCGACTAGGGACGACACCATTTGCAATGCGATCGTACTCCTATGGGTCAAAGCCACCAAACCGTCGGACGGATAGAAGCTGTACAAGTCGACACATCCGCTGATCTTGGAGAGGCTGGAGTCGCTTCTAGCCCAGCCCATTGGACGGTGCAATTACGCAATTGGCCGAGCTCATTGGAAAGGATGAAGGAGGCGTGAACGCGATAAACCGTGTCAAGCGAGCGATGGACTTCATCGCGCACAGGGTGGAGCAAGGTGACATCATTGCGGTAGTCCTCGACAAGCTTGACCAAGTGTTAGGGGAAGTAAGCATGTCGGGTTTATCAGAAGGGATCGCGTTGAAGAAGAAGAGTGTTGACTTGAACCTGAGCCAGCTCAAAAAGGGGACAGCAGCGGAGGTGCAGTTGCGTGTGAAATGGATGCTTGTACGCGACCATCTTATCGATGTCTCTCTTCCCGCGTCTGAGTTCATGGTTGCGTGGCCACAGTACTATGCACAGATGCCACCACTAGAATAAAAGGGTTGGTGCCTAGGTTGTTCGTGTTGTTTTGAGACCTATGAGTGCCATGTTCTGATTTCCTTGTGTCGAACGCGAGGATTGCTTCCGAATGTTACTATCACGTAACTACCATATACTGCACATCGCATTCGCTGTTTGACGATACGTATCATGTGTTAACCCACCGTTTGCAACAGACTTGTATCATTCACGATCGCGAACGCGAACAATATGTGGGTACATATGTGCATAAACCCGCAATTGTGGGTGTACCGCGTTTATACTCCATGACTAGAGTGTGAGATCTTAAATGTGTGACATCCTGGTCGCGTTAGCCGCTAGTGCTAGTCCATAATTTAGGGTTCAATAGCACATGTTTTCAAATGCCAACACTAGTAAATCATGCTAACACGCACATACAGAATCTCACTTGCACACAGGTCTGCAAGGTCAGCATAATCCATCGCGAGTAGAACTCAAGTAGGGTGGACAAGCTACACACAAACTACGTGATACTACACGCATTCACGTCCACTTCTTTGCGGACAGACGATCCTTGGGCAGGGCAAGGTAAAGACCCTTGGACTCCACGACCTTCCCTGCAACCGAGCAGTCGCACCAGGTGATGAGCACGTCCACTGTCTCGCGGGCGGACATCTCGATGTGCCTGACGTCACGGGACCGGCCAGCGACCACGTTCACGACACCAGACACAATCGAGGTCGCGACAATCTTCGGGTCCACGACAATCTTTGGTTCCTCGTTCTCGGCTTGCTCGCGGACACTGCGCTTCCTCACTGCATTGATAACGTGCGCGGTTACTACGGGGAAGAGACGGCTCTGTTCCCCAAAGCAACCAGCAGCTCGCACTACCAAATGTCCTGAATCTGCTGCAGCCGTGACGCTTGAACCGCGAGTCACTTCCCACACCGTGGCAATCGCACATGCAACCGCGCCTGCGTAATCTGCCGGCTACACAGCGCCGAGATCCGGCTCCTCTGTTGCAGCTTCTTTCCCTACCACTGCGGCCCATGCAATCTCATTGGTAGTGTACATTTCGGGCTCGGTTAGCGCGCGATAGGCATGAAACATGCGTTGCCACCTGCCACGCAATGGAGTGGACAGAACATGATAACTCCCCAAGAAAAAAAACATATGCAAGCAATTGGTGATGGGGGTTTGACATAGGGTACCGCGATAGCTCACTTGTCCTTGCTGACTTCGAGATTACAGTAGTGCATCGTGATGAGAAGGCCTGTATGCAACTCTGCGACAGCAGACAGGTCCGCGGCCCACGCTCGGAGGTGCTTGTTGCTCGGGTTCAGCCCGGGGTCCACCTTCTTGTTATACGGCATCAACGCGACAACCGTTTACTGCAGGTCTTCAAGCTCTCCGTGTCCAAGCCACCGCTTCTTCCCCCCCAAATGCGGTTCAGATCCCAAGCCTGGTCCGCCCCTGGGTGGAGCGCGGATGCCATAGCCCCTCCACTTGCTGCCAATTACACCCTGTCCTGTTTCGCCACTAGGCGCGCCCACTGTGTCGCCATCTTGCTCGTCCGCGCTCTCCCCGCCGCTATGAATCTCGACCGCGGCCTCACTACCCTGTCCTCCTCCGTTGCCCACCGGCCCAATCCACCTGCTGACGCGATTCTCCAGCTCGTCTTCTGCCTCATCCTCGTCGATGGTGTACACGGGTGGTGGCGGCAACTTCTCGGCACCCCTGCCGCGTTCCTCTGTCTTGTGTTCGATTGCAGCCGCGCTCGGACCAGCAAAGGCGCTCGCAATGTGCCCATGCTTTCCTGTCGTTGTGGCAGCATGTGCTGGTGCGATCGCGGTGTTCTTGACCTCCGTCGCGGCTGCCACGGTGGGCTGAACCTCACGCCTCGCAGGCTGCGAACCCGCTGTAGCCGGTCCCTCCTCTCCCGCCTTCCTTTTGCCCTTACCACCTGCAGCCGTCAAGGACGCGGTTGCCTGCGCAGGGCCTGGTGGTTTGGGCGCAGATTCTCCAGGTGGGATCGAGCGCGAGCTCGAACTCGGTTGAGCAGGTTGTGCTGCACCCCGCGATGCAACGCCTCACTTCTTCTTCAGCAGGTCTTGCACGCTCAGGTTGCATACCGTGGCCGCTGCCTGAGGACCTCTCTGCCTCTTCGGCCCCTGCTGGTTATCCGCCTTCGCACCCGCCGCCCGCTTCCCATACTCGGCATCTCCAGGTTTGGCATTCTCCGTCGTAGCTGGTTCTTCCGTGTCCGGGCGCGGCGGCGGGCTACCGGAGACGATGGTGATGAGTGTGTGCAGGGCGTTTGTGATACTGCTGGTGGTGATGGCCCGCTCTGCTGTCGCGGAAACCGCGGTCAACATTTTGTCGATCTTCCACGCAACCTCGTCTGTCAGCTTCTTCTGAGCGGTTTCCATGGAGTCGACCACCACCCCCTGCAGCTGTCCCAACCTCACATCTACTCGACCCAGAACCAATGCCTCTTGGTTACGCGCATCACAAAGAGCAACCCTCTCTAACGCGATCGCCTTCGCCTCCTTCTCCAAGACTAGAATCGCCTTAGCAATGGCGGACGCGAGCTCCTCGTAGCTCACGACCGCGACACCACCTACCCCAGACTCCAGGCGGTTCTTCAACCACGCGATCTGTTCCACCTGTGCTGCAAGCTTGCAATCGAGTTGCATGATCTCCTTGGCCAGCTTATGCGATGGCAACGCGGACAGGGATCAGAAGTCCCACGGACCACAAACGGGACTCTTGCCCCCGAACTCACCACTGGGGCTCGCGCTTCCAGCTCCGGGGGCCAAGTGCCGAGCAAGATGCTTGATGCTCTTCCCGGAGGTTGTGGGCCTCCTGGCAGCCATGGCTGCAGGCCCCAAAATGTCAGGGTAAAATACCCTGATTGCCCTGACTGGCGGCCGCTTTTTTTGGGGTTACCCTGACCCAGTCAGGCTCCCGGATTTCTTACCCTGACTCATAAAGAGTTTGATTTTTTGTACCCTTATGAAATCCGAGCTTTAGATTGTTTCCCCTGACTTTCATCAGTGTTTTAATCCTGTTACACTGATACCGAGTCTTTCGTAGCGAGGATATGGTGGACGTTGCGCAATGGTGCCAGCAAATAGTGCACCCTGTTTATTCGTTCTAAATATAGACTTGTAAACAAAATCAGAGTATGATTTTTTTTTACCCTGTTTTCATCAGGGTACGAAATTTTTTACCCTAGGAGTCAGGGTTGGCCCACCCTGGAACTCTGATTTGACAGGGTGGGCCAAAACCAATTTTGGGGCCTGCATGGCTGCAATCTCTTGAGCCTCCGCCTCCTCCTCACTCGACTCTTCCCCCTCACACACTCTAGTGCGGTCAGCCTCATCGAGTGGTTTACCCTTACCCACGGTATCCTCCGCCCCATCGTCTTCAACGCGGTCAGACCCAGGTGCCGGGTGGTCCACCGTCCCCTCCTGTATACCTCCTCGGTTCGCGACACCTGTGCCACTAGTGAGAGCGAGAACACCATGATCCGCGACCTGCGAACCCGTTGCCACCTTCTGCACCATCCCACTTCATTACTATCTGCCTCATCGCCACGCTTAGGACGCGTCATATCCACGCTCATGTTGAACGCGAGCTCTTCAGCTTTGCGGAACGCCTCCAGCCGCAATGCATTCAGAATCTTCGCATTAGGCCTCGAGTATTGCGGCCCGGATCCATTGGCAGCCACCTCGTCCATCTGGGCAATGATCTTGCCGAACGCGAACGGACAAGCGAGGTTGCCGCAGGAGCCCTTCCATGACGCCGCGTCCTGGAAAACAAAACATGCTATTTGTTAGCACGGGTGCAAATATTCGCTGTCATCACGAACGCGTATAACACAATGACATACCAGATTGACCAGATGAGTAGGATCCTTAAGTTGGCGGGACCGGGTGCACTGAATGGAGCCGCGAGTGAAATTTGCGTCAACGCGACCCTGATACCATTTGCCCAATACACGTGGGGTACTCTATAGTGAGTACAGCCCAAATTAGGGTTTGCTATATGTATCCTATCTGCTGCTAGTGAAACCTCTATTTCTGTTTCTAACTTTCTGCCTACTATTCTGACAAAAGGAACTAACCTCCGCTTGCTTGTGTGCAGATGTCGTGGTCCGCTGCCAAGCGAATGGGTGGATGGAGGCTACCGGCGTCATCAAGTGGCTCGATGAGGGCGTGGTGCAATTCCAGAAACCGAAATTCGGCCTGCAGAGTCGGAGCGCCATGCTAGTACTCGACTCCTATCGTGGAAGTCAAGGCGAGATTCGCGGCGCTCAACATCGTGCCGGCGGTCATCCCGGCGGAATGCACGGCAGACTTGCAGCCATTCGTTGTGTCGGTGAACAAGAGCTTCAAAGCGAGTGTTTGCCAGCAATACCAGACCTGGTTTAAGCAGGACGGCATGAACACTCTGACACCTGCAGGTGAGCGCCGACAAGTCCTCCCGTCTCCCCTTCGTGTGATTGTTTGCCTGCGTGTGAACTAATGTGTTTCCCACTCCCTTCCTTGTGGTGCAGAGAACATCAAGAAACCACCTCCGGCGGTGGTGCTCAAGTGGATTTCACGCACGTGGAAGGCTGTGCCCGCCGACCTGATTAAGAAATCCTTCCTCACGTGCGGCATCAGCAATGACCTTGATGTGAAAGAACGAGGAATGAATGAACTAGCAAGCAGGTGGGTACAAGTAGGAAAACCTAAAAGTGTTGTACCCCATGTTGTCTACCCCACTACAGCCTACACAGACTATAGCATATGAGTTTGACACACCCCCATAGGCAAAGTGGGGGAGAACAAGAGGTCACAAGACCAGTCAAGCAAAGCAGAGCAAGCTCAGGGTGGATCACAACGTCACCACACATTCCGAGCACAAGTTCAAGGCCACAAGGCCAGTTCACATGCAAGATCATATATAAAGGTAAACAAGCAAGTGCAGGTATAGAAAGATCACAGTACAAGCAAGGTCAAGAAGTGAGCAAGTGAGGCCAAGTAGGCACAAGACCTAGCATCGTACAGAAACGCTGATGATCACAAGGCGGAAGTGCCTTGGTAAAGATATCAGCAGTGTTGGCCTCAGAGGCCACGTAAGCAAGGCGCAGCTGACCACGCTGCTGCAGCTCACGAGCAAGGAAGTAGCGAAGAGCAATGTGCTTTGTTCTGTGCTCCATTCTGTGCTCCCGACACAAGGCCAGCATGGCCTTGTTGTCTACGTACAAAACTGGAGGAGAACGAGGCGGCTCTCCTAGGTCAGTCAGCAGGTCGGTGAGCCAGCGTAGCTCCTGTATAGCCATGGCCCCCGCGTAGATCTCAGCCTCACAGCTGGAGCCGAGAACAGAAGACGAGCGGGTAGACCGCCACGAAACAGAGCCGGAACCAAGGCTGAAGGTGTAACCCTGTGACGACCGCTGCGTAGCCTGGTCGTCAGCCCAAGAAGCGTCTGCGTGACCTGTGAGGACCACTGAACGTCGCCCTCCAAGCACTAGCCCCATGCCCGACGTACTGCACAAGTAGCGCAACACCCTCTTCGCTGCAGCCATGTGCTCTGGTCGGTGTCTCCCAGGAGCAACATAGCGTGCCAAGATGCTAAGAGGGTATGCAAGGTCAGGTCGTGTGCAGGTCATCAGGTACATGAGGCAGCCAACAAGCTCTGGGTACGGGCCACTCGGCTCTACGGACTCATCCGAAGGCAGAGCTGAGAGCGAGTGGCGAGTAGACAGAGGAGTGGCCTGAGGCGAGGAGTACGTGAAGTCGAAGCGCTGAAGGACCTGCTGCACCATGTGTGACTGAGTCAGGGTAATGGTGCGCTGTGCTCTGTCCCGGGTGATCTGCAAGCCAAGGTAGCTGCGCAGTTCACCCAGGTCTGTGCACGTGTGTCTCTTCTGCAGCTCGGACTTCACGTGGGCGAGTCCAGCAGTGTCAGCAGTGGCAAAGACCAAGTTGTCGACGTACACGAGGATGTAGAACGGCGGCAAAGAGGTGTCGGTGCGCAGAAACAGCAACGGGTCGGCAGTAGAAGGAGCAAACCCAAGAGCCGCAAGTGTATTCCTTAGTGTGGCGTGCCACTCACTGGGCGCCTGGCGGAGACCGTAGACTGGCCGCCGGAGGCTCCACTGGGTACCAGGAGGAAACGACCCAGTGAAGCCAGGTGGGCGGCGCAGCCAGATCTCCTCGTGCAGGCTGCCCTGCACGAAAGTTGTGCTGAAGTCAAGAGAGTGAAGCTCGTAGTCGCGCTGAGCGGCTATGTGCAGCAGCACCCGAAGAGTGGTCATCTTCGGGGTGGGAGAGAAGGTCTGAAAGTAGTCAACTCCCTGCCGCTGACTGAAGCCTCGAGCCACGTAACGCGCCTTGAAGACAGGCGGAGAACCCGGCGGCCGCTTCACCCTGAAAATCCACATGCCACTGACGATGTTCGCCCCAGGTGGGGGAACCTCGTCAACGTAGGTGCCTGTGGACTTCCAGGAAGCCATCTCTGCGTCCATGGCTGACTGCCACTGTGAGGGGTAGGGACCCTCGATCGCCTCAGCGTACGATCGAGGAGTCGGGATGTCTGGTGCATCCGGGTCTCCCTCAGGGGCAATCAGCGTGGACACGAGATGAGGCAAAGCAGCAGCAAAACACTGGAACTCCTCCTGCCTGTCCTCAAGGACGTCCGTGCTAAGAGCACACTCACCCCCGACGGACGGAGGACAGACAGACTCAGACTCAGCAACAAGACTAGTGGCGTAGTCTAGACGACAGCGAGCAGCAAAGTCGACAAGCTCAGCAACCAAGGCAGACGCAGCAGTGGACTCAAAGGAAGGGTGAGTGACAACAGTAGCCAGGAGACGCGTGACAGTAGGACTGGCAGCACGAAGAGAGTCAGACTCCGGGTCAGCAAGGACAGGAAGAGAGGACTCTGGAGGAGACGGCAACGGGACACGCAGAGGAGCAGTGGACGGACGCAGCGCCATCTGGTGTGTGCCTGGGACCGCAGGAGGACGCGGACGCGGAGCACGACCACTAGTGCGAGCAGCACGAACAGGTGACGCAGGACGAGACGCAGGCTCACGACGCTCAGCAAGACCTCCAGTAGGACCAGTGTAGGGAGAAGGAGCAGGTAGGGGGGAGGCGGGCTGTAACTGTGACCGCGACTGGACAGGCTGTGGACACTCTAAGGGAGGAGCAGGACCAGTAGAGGGCGGGAGACCAAGAACCTGCTCAAGAAGCGGAACGAAGTACGGCCGCGGCCGCGCAGCGCCTCCAGAACCAGCAGGGACAGCACCAGCACCCCCAGCGGCAGCACCAGCGCCAGCAGCACCTCCAGCTCCAAGAGCGCCAACTCCAACACCCTCAGAAGCACCAGCGCCAGCAGCACCACCAGCGCCAACACCCCCAGCAGCTCCAGCTCCAGCAGCTCCAGCAGCACCAACTCCAGCAGCTCCAGCAGCTCCAGTAGCACCAGCTCCAGCAGCTCCAGCAGCACCTCCAGCAGGACCAACTCCAGTAGCCCCAGCAGCACCCCCAGTCCCAGCAGCTCCAGTACCGCCAGTACGAGCACCTCCAGGACCAGTGGCTCCAGGAACTCCAGTGCCGACCCCAGGGTCAGCAGTAACAGCAGCACCTCCAGCTCCAACAGCACGGCTCCAGCGCCGGGCAAACCACTCGCGCAGCTCCTGCGGAGAGGGTAGCTCCCGCCTCGACGAAGCACCGCCAGAGGCCACACGAGCAGACCCAGCACCCCCAGGCTCCGCACCCCCAGGCTCCGTACCCCCAGGCTCAGCACCCCCAGACCCGGCACCCGCAGGCTCAGCACCCCTAGACTCAGCACCCCCAGGCTCCGCACCCCCAGGCTCAGCACCCCCAGACCCGGCACCCGCAGGCTCAGCACCCCTAGCAGCACCAGAGTCAACAGCTACCTCGACAGGCTCGACTGCGTCTACCTGGGACACACCTGACGGGGCAGGACCCTGTGGGGGGAGAGGGTCTACCGGGGGAGGACCTGGCGCAAGGAAGAGAGGCGGCGGGGGGAGGGGCGCAGTGCGGTAGGGGAAGAGACGGTAGTAAGGCACCGACTCGTCAAAGGTGACGTCCTAGGAGGACAGAACCCGGCGCGAGGTGGGGTGGTAAAACTGCCAACCAGGCGCGTCAGGGTGGAAGCCAAGGAAGACGCAGGGAACAGCACGGGGGGACAGCTTGTCCGCAGACAAGTCGCGGACAAACGCCCGAGATCCCCAGACACGAAACGCAGACGCATCGCCAACCTTCCCCGTCCACCGCAAGGTGGGGGAGGTCTCTGGCAAGGAGACCCGGGGCTGAAGGTTGAGCTGATGCGCTGCGTACTGAACCGCAAACGGCCATAGAAAATGGGGAGCAGCCGCATGGATCATGGACGTACGAGCGACGTCCATGACCATGCCAATGCGGCGCTCAGCAATCCCATTTTGCTGTGGAGAGGCCGGAAGCGTGAAGGTCTGGCGGATGCCCTGTGCACGACAGAAGGCTCCCAGACGGGCAGAGGAAAACTCCCCGCCTCTGTCAGAGTGCAGACGCAGAACAGGAAAGTCCGAGCCGAAACTCTCTCTGAGCTGGAGACGAGCTGTGCGGATCCAGTCGATCAACACCTCAGTGACGTCATCCTTGCTGCGCAAGGGGAACACCGTGGTGTAACGCGAGTAGTCGTCAACCACCAACAGGAAGTAACGCTCGTGACCCTGGCCACGGACGCGGGCGGGACTCTGCGTGACCAAACGTCCCGCAAGGCTAACCAGTCCGAGCACCAGTGCGAATGACGTACGGACAGCGAGCAGTACCCCATGACCCGCCACGCTGAGCGTACCACTCACGAAGCTGCTGGGGCGAAAGGACCGCGCACGGACGACGCTGCAGCTGCACCTGGCCACTACAAGCAGCTGCCGAACTACTCACTCCAGGACGACTCCCACTACGGCCACCCCGACAACCCCAAGTAGCGTACCACTCACGAAGCTGCTGGGGCGTGAGGGACTCACGCGGACGTCGCTGGAGCTGCATCTGGCCAAGCCAGGAGCAGCAGTAGCAGTAGAAAGAGCAGTAGCAGCAAGAGCAGCAGTAACAGCAGTACGGGCAGGGCAGTGCTCACCAGTGGCGGGAGGGGCAGGTGTACGATGGCGGCAACGGCGAGGCCGCTACCACTGTAGGGCGAGGGCTCCGCGGCAGCCGCAGGGGCGGCTGCTCCAGGGGCAGCTGCTGCAAGGGTGGCTGCTCCAGGGGCGGCTGCTGCAGGGGCGGCTGCTCCATGGGCGGCTGCTGCAGTGGCGGCTGCTCCAGGGGCGGCTGCTGCAGTGGTGGCTGCTCCAGGGGCGGCTGCTGCAGTGGCGGCTGCTCCAGGGGCGGCTGCTGCAGGGGCGGCTGCTCCAGGGGCGGCTGCTGCAGATGTGGCTGCTCCAGGGGCGGCTGCTGCAGTGGCGGCTGCTCCAGGGGCGGCTGCTTCAGGGGCGGCTGCTCCAGGGGCGGCTGCTTCAGGGGCGGCTGCTCCAGGGGCGGCTGCTGCAGAGGAGGCTGCTCCAGGGGCGGCTGCTGCAGTGGCGGCTGCTCCAGGGGCGGCTGCTGCAGTGGCGGCTGCTCCAGGGCGCGGGTTAGGGCAGGGCGCCGCGGCGGGCAGCGGTGACGCCACGCGGGTCCCGCAGGGGCGTCGCGACGCACAGGAGCCGCGCCTCGCGGGTCCCGCAGGGTCGACGCGACGAGGCGGGGGCGACGCAGCGGGGCCGCGAAGGGCGACGCAGCGGGGTCGCTACGGGCAGCGGGGCGGGGCCGCGAAGGGGCCGTGAAGGGGCCGTGAAGGGGCCGCGAAGGGGCCGCGAAGGGGCCGTGAAGGGGCCGTGAAGGGGCCGCGAAGGGGCCGCGAAGGGGCCGTGAAGGGGCCGTGAAGGGGCCGCGAAGGGGCCGCGAAGGGGGCGTGAAGGGGCCGTGAAGGGGCCGCGAAGGGGCCGCGAAGGGGCCGTGAAGGGGCCGTGAAGGGGCCGCGAAGGGGCCGGGAAGGGGCCACGAAGGTGCCACGAAGGGGCCGCGAAGGGAGGCCGCGAAGGGGCCACGAGGGGCCTGAAGGGGCCGCGAAGGGCCGTGAGAGGGGCCGTGAGAGGCCGTGAGAGGGGCCGCTACGGGGCCGTAGGGGAGCGCGACGGGCCACTAAGGGCAGGGGACGCGACGGGAGAGTAGGCGCACGGGGCGCGACTCGGGCAGGGGCGAAGCGCGCTCCGGGCAGAAAAAAAATCGATATTCGGTGGGCCCTAGGAAACGTTCCCACTAGGGAACCTGCTCTATACCATGTGAAAGAACGAGGAATGAATGAACTAGCAAGCAGGTGGGTACTAGTAGGAAAACCTAAAAGTGTTGTACCCCATGTTGTCTACCCCACTACAGCCTACACAGACTATAGCATATGAGTTTGACACTTGATGGGAGCGAAGACCGTCTGGTGATGGCGCACCGGAGAGGCCAGTTGTCCCATGAGGTAGAGGTCGAGGACGACATCCAAGCAGACGGGTTCTGGGACAACAACTCTACAGAGCATGAATCGGACGAGGAGGAAGAGCAAGCCTAAGGCTAGACTAGGCATGATGATTGTGTTTAGGCTAGGACAGTAATCACCTTATTGTATGTGAATGTTTTAGTTACCGGTAATGGAAAATTACAAGTACCGTAATCTCCCGGACAAAACACCCCCCCATGATAGTACACCCCCGGGTAGCTTGTGCGGGGTGGGTGCTATGGGCGACCTCGTTTCTACTATAACCCCCCTTTTTGGATGATTTTCTATAACACCCCCCTTTTCTTACGGATTCCTATTATAGCTGTTATCGAGTCTGATTCCTTACAGGAGAATATTGCGAGAATCGCTTCCTAGATGAAATTTCGCGTGTACTTGCACTTAGAATCCGCCGACATTTCCCCCTCCCACAATCTCGCTGTCGCCACCCTAGCAAATCTTTTGCTGCAAGTGGACATTTCCCCCATCCCACATTCTAGGAAGTCGCCACGCTGGCGAATCTTCCACTGCAATTGGCCTGAAAGGTGAAACTCACATTCTCGCCATAACCCCCCAGGCAAACGCGCATTGACCCTCTCCAGGATCAATCGAGTATCCACAGTGCAGATCTACTGACACCCCCCCACACTGGGAGGCCCAAGACTAAGCACAGCGGCAACGGCCTACATGTGCATACACCGGGAATCGAACCCGAGACCGCTCTGATACCATGTCAGAATCCCAACCACTAGACCATTGGGATAAAAGGGCTTGTTTCAGTAGCGGGTCAGTGCGCCCATAACCCCCCAGGCAAACGCGCATGTAACCCTCTCCAGGATCAATCGGGCATCCACAGTGCAGATCTACTGACACTGACCCGCTACTGAAACAAGCCCTTTTATCCCAATGGTCTAGTGGTTGGGATTCTGACAGAAACACCCAAACTGTTGCATTAAAATATACCATATATAACCACCCAGGTATTATATAGGATTTTCCGTTGAAAGGACCCCCCCCCTTTTTTTCTTTGTGGTTATCATAATACCCCCGGGTGTTATGTCCGGGAGAATACGGTAATGTAGGATAGCCATGATGAAGGTCTGAAAAAAAAAAAAAAAAAAAACAAGTATAAAAAATCTTGTTTATATAGCAAGGGTGCGCTTATAATAAGGATTTTATCAGGGGTGCGCTTATAATTGAGGATCGGCCATAAGCGCATTGCTCCAGATAGAAGCGCATGCGCTTTTAATAGGCCTGCGCTTATATGTGGGGTGATACGGTATGGTGTTCACAACAAAACAGGTTTGCAGTCGCCAAGTACAAATGACAAACAAAGAAATATAGAAATACACGGTAGCACACAAAGCTCCGAAAACTAGCAATCTTTATGAAGAAACAGAAACTAGGCTCCATGGTACAACAGACAGACCAACAAGCATGCAAGAATATTCCTGATACACGCACTACACGATCCAGCCAGCCATCAGCCAAGTTGGTTTCAAGCCTCCAAGCAACCGCATGCAGTTGCTCGCACCTCTGCTCCATCAGCCCCCGCCGATATGACGTCGCTCTGGTGCTGCCAGCTTGCGCCTCCTTGCCCCCCACCCCCCCATCCAACTAGGGCCGCCCGTTCTTCGCTTGTTCACCAACTTCTTTAGAGTAGATGCGATCAAGCTATAGTTGCACAGGGAAGGGTCAAATGGAGGGAAGGACACATAAAAAGAAGTGGGATGCAACAGAAGTTGATAGAGGAAGATGCGTAACTGACATGTGGGCTGTTCATGGGTGCATGTGGGCCTTTTCATAGTTGCATGTGAGCTGGAGGCACCTGTTGGAAGAGAGCAAGGCACAAATCACCCTTACGTCTGCACCCATACTTCAGAGCATGCATTTATCCCTCTCCCTTACGTCTGCACCCATACTTCAGAGCATGCATTTATCCCTCTCCCTTACGTCTGCACCCATACTTCAGAGCATGCATTTATCCCTCTCCCTTACGTGTGGTGCACCCACACTTACCGATCCGGCAGCCAACTGATTTCGGCGATTGGGATGCCTTTTTGAGAGTCCTGAGATTGGGAGAGGTAAGGATAGGGAAGGATAGGGAAGAGCACAGATGAGGACGAGTAACTCCAGTGATCCATGACCGTTGTACCCATGGGTTGGAAGAAGAAAGGACTAAACCACACATCGCATGGCGTGCATGCATCACGCATGTGCCGCCATGCATCACACATATGCCATACACCATGCTCACGCACCCTTTCGTGACGGGGTAGCCACGGCCCGTCCACGCAGGACGTGCGATCGTCAGGCCCGGCTGGCCCGAGCAGCCGGGGCCGGAGTAGAACGTGAGGCTCTGGCACATGCCGTTTTCAGCTCCAGTGAGCTTCGCGACTCTCCACACCACGGTGGCCTTGGTGTTGCCGCCGATGCTGGAGGTCAGGTCCGTGCACGCGGAGGTGCCACCGATCGCATCTGCCGGCGAATCGGTGGAGAAGGTGAGCCTCTGCTTCTTGGCCTTGCGCTTGCGCCCAGCGTTGGGGGCCTGCAACTCCAGCGTCGTGCGCAGTACGGGGTCTGCGCGGAGGGCGGGAAAGGAGAGGGGCAGGCAGGGGAGAATGTGCGGGAGGAGTGAGGAGATGAAAGCAGCCGAGTAGCTCCACCGTCGTCTAGAATACGGGGTACGAGCAGTGGTGAGACAGTTGACGACGTGAATGGGGGTTTGAAGGCGTCGAGTTGGGGGCGTGATGAGGGAAAGGAGAGGAAGGGGGCAGGTAGGGGGGGAGGTGTGGGAGGTGTAAGGAGACGAAAGCGGTTGGTCAACGTTCTAATGACATGCGTCCACCCACCTTCTTGCTCCAAGAGTTGATTCTCAGCGTTGCCTCCATTGGATCTCAGTGTTGCGTCTCAAGTGCGGAAGGAGTGAGGAGACCAAGTGCTAACTCCGGAAATGTGTTTGTTTAAAGAGATCAATCGTCTACAACTCATAAGTGCAGCACTCACCAAAGCATGTCTTGTAAGCGTCGCTGAAGATAAAACCAGCGGTGGAGCACATGCACACAGGATCGCCAGCAGCGTTGGGAGAGCAGGAAGCTGTGGAGCCACAGCCCAGGGCCGCACACGGGTCTGCAGAGGCGATCATGGCTGGTTGCGGGGTGTAAGTAGGGGAAGGGGCTTGGATGAGTTGAACTCTTGCTCATGATAATGAGCTCACCTGCACACACACACTCATCCACACATGCACGCCCCCCACACATGCACACTCACATACACATGCACACTCACCCACACACGCACACTCACATACACACGCACACTCACCCACACACGGACACTCACCCACACATGCACACTCACCCACACACGCACACTCACTCAACCACACACGCACACTCACCCACACACACACACTCACCCACACACGCACACTCACTCAACCACACACGCACACTCACTCAACCACACACCCCACTCACCCACACACGTCTTGGTGTCCTTATTGAAGTGAGAACCATCGTTGCACATGCACTCGGCGTTGTTATCAAGCACATTGCACTTGGCATCTTTCCCGCAATCCACGTTTGTACACGCGTCTGCACAGAATTTGGGAATTGTTGAAAAACAAAGTAGGGAAAGCGAGAAAGAAGAAGATGGATTTAGCTTATAATCGTGCACTCACTCGCCCACACTCCACCACCCACCCACACTTCACCACCCACCCACCCACACTCACTCCACCAATGCGAGTGATGCCTCTCAGGACATTCTAGACAAGGGGTAGAGACTGTGGACTCGCAACATGTGGTGCAATGCAGGGCTCACTAGTGCACGTGGTGTGTAATACAGGGCTCACTAGTGCACGTGGTGTGTAATACAGGGCTCACTGGTGCACGTGGTGTGCAATACAGGGCTCACTAGTGCACGTGGTGTGCAATGCAGGGCTCACTAGTGCACGTGGTGTGCAATACAGGGCTCACTAGTGCACGTGGTGTGCAATGCAGGGCTCACTAGTGCACGTGGTGTGTAATACAGGGCTCACTAGTGCACGTGGTGTGGAATACAGGGCTCACTGGTGCACGTGGTGTGCAATACAGGGCTCACTAGTGCACGTGGTGTGCAATGCAGGGCTCACTAGTGCACGTGGTGTGTAATACAGGGCTCACTAGTGCACGTGGTGTGTAATACAGGGCTCACTAGTGCACGTGGTGTGGAATACAGGGCTCACTGGTGCACGTGGTGTGCAATACAGGGCTCACTAGTGCACGTGGTGTGCAATGCAGGGCTCACTAGTGCACGTGGTGTGCAATACAGGGCTCACTAGTGCACGTGGTGTGCAATGCAGGGCTCACTAGTGCACGTGGTGTGTAATACAGGGCTCACTAGTGCACGTGGTGTGGAATACAGGGCTCACTGGTGCACGTGGTGTGCAATACAGGGCTCACTAGTGCACGTGGTGTGCAATGCAGGGCTCACTAGTGCACGTGGTGCAATGCAGGGCTCACTAGTGCACGTGGTGTGTAATACAGGGCTCACTAGTGCACGTGGTGTGTAATACAGGGCTCACTGGTGCACGTGGTGTGCAATACAGGGCTCACTAGTGCACGTGGTGTGCAATGCAGGGCTCACTAGTGCACGTGGTGTGCAATACAGGGCTCACTAGTGCACGTGGTGTGCAATGCAGGGCTCACTAGTGCACGTGGTGTGTAATACAGGGCTCACTAGTGCACGTGGTGTGGAATACAGGGCTCACTGGTGCACGTGGTGTGCAATACAGGGCTCACTAGTGCACGTGGTGTGCAATGCAGGGCTCACTAGTGCACGTGGTGTGTAATACAGGGCTCACTAGTGCACGTGGTGTGTAATACAGGGCTCACTAGTGCACGTGGTGTGGAATACAGGGCTCACTGGTGCACGTGGTGTGCAATACAGGGCTCACTAGTGCACGTGGTGTGCAATGCAGGGCTCACTAGTGCACGTGGTGTGCAATACAGGGCTCACTAGTGCACGTGGTGTGCAATGCAGGGCTCACTAGTGCACGTGGTGTGTAATACAGGGCTCACTAGTGCACGTGGTGTGGAATACAGGGCTCACTGGTGCACGTGGTGTGCAATACAGGGCTCACTAGTGCACGTGGTGTGCAATGCAGGGCTCACTAGTGCACGTGGTGTGTAATACAGGGCTCACTAGTGCACGTGGTGTGCAATACAGGGCTCACTAGTGCACGTGGTGTGCAATACAGGGCTCACTAGTGCACGTGGTGTGCAATACAGGGTTCACTAGTGCACGTGGTGTGCAATACAGGGCTCACTATTGCACGTGGTGTGCAATGCAGGGCTCACTAGTGCACGTGGTGTGCAATACAGGGCTCACTAGTGCACGTGGTGTGCAATACAGGGCTCACTAGTGCACGTGGTGTGCAATGCAGGGCTCACTAGTGCACGTGGTGTGCAATACAGGGCTCACTAGTGCACGTGGTGTGCAATACAGGGCTCACTAGTGCACGTGGTGTGTAATACAGGGCTCACTAGTGCACGTGGTGTGCAATACAGGGCTCACTAGTGCACGTGGTGTGCAATGCAGGGCTCACTAGTGCACGTGGTGTGCAATGCAGGGCTCACTAGTGCACGTGGTGTGCAATACAGGGCTCACTAGTGCACGTGGTGTGCAATGCAGGGCTCACTAGTGCACGTGGTGTGCAATACAGGGCTCACTAGTGCACGTGGTGTGCAATACAGGGCTCACTAGTGCACGTGGTGTGTAATACAGGGCTCACTAGTGCACGTGGTGTGGAATACAGGGCTCACTGGTGCACGTGGTGTGCAATACAGGGCTCACTAGTGCACGTGGTGTGCAATGCAGGGCTCACTAGTGCACGTGGTGTGTAATACAGGGCTCACTAGTGCACGTGGTGTGGAATACAGGGCTCACTGGTGCACGTGGTGTGCAATACAGGGCTCACTAGTGCACGTGGTGTGCAATGCAGGGCTCACTAGTGCACGTGGTGTGCAATACAGGGCTCACTAGTGCACGTGGTGTGCAATACAGGGCTCACTAGTGCACGTGGTGTGCAATACAGGGCTCACTAGTGCACGTGGTGTGCAATGCAGGGCTCACTAGTGCACGTGGTGTGCAATACAGGGCTCACTAGTGCACGTGGTGTGCAATGCAGGGCTCACTAGTGCACGTGGTGTGTAATACAGGGCTCACTAGTGCACGTGGTGTGGAATACAGGGCTCACTGGTGCACGTGGTGTGCAATACAGGGCTCACTAGTGCACGTGGTGTGCAATGCAGGGCTCACTAGTGCACGTGGTGTGCAATACAGGGCTCACTAGTGCACGTGGTGTGCAATACAGGGCTCACTAGTGCACGTGGTGTGCAATGCAGGGCTCACTAGTGCACGTGGTGTGCAATACAGGGCTCACTAGTGCACGTGGTGTGCAATGCAGGGCTCACTAGTGCACGTGGTGTGTAATACAGGGCTCACTAGTGCACGTGGTGTGCAATACAGGGCTCACTGGTGCACGTGGTGTGCAATACAGGGCTCACTAGTGCACGTGGTGTGCAATGCAGGGCTCACTAGTGCACGTGGTGTGTAATACAGGGCTCACTAGTGCACGTGGTGTGCAATACAGGGCTCACTAGTGCACGTGGTGTGCAATACAGGGCTCACTAGTGCACGTGGTGTGCAATACAGGGCTCACTAGTGCACGTGGTGTGCAATGCAGGGCTCACTAGTGCACGTGGTGTGCAATACAGGGCTCACTAGTGCACGTGGTGTGCAATGCAGGGCTCACTAGTGCACGTGGTGTGTAATACAGGGCTCACTAGTGCACGTGGTGTGGAATACAGGGCTCACTGGTGCACGTGGTGTGCAATACAGGGCTCACTAGTGCACGTGGTGTGCAATACAGGGCTCACTAGTGCACGTGGTGTGCAATGCAGGGCTCACTAGTGCACGTGGTGTGCAATGCAGGGCTCACTAGTGCACGTGGTGTGTAATACAGGGCTCACTAGTGCACGTGGTGTGGAATACAGGGCTCACTGGTGCACGTGGTGTGCAATACAGGGCTCACTAGTGCACGTGGTGTGCAATGCAGGGCTCACTAGTGCACGTGGTGTGTAATACAGGGCTCACTAGTGCACGTGGTGTGCAATACAGGGCTCACTAGTGCACGTGGTGTGCAATACAGGGCTCACTAGTGCACGTGGTGTGCAATACAGGGTTCACTAGTGCACGTGGTGTGCAATACAGGGCTCACTATTGCACGTGGTGTGCAATGCAGGGCTCACTAGTGCACGTGGTGTGCAATACAGGGCTCACTAGTGCACGTGGTGTGCAATACAGGGCTCACTAGTGCACGTGGTGTGGAATACAGGGCTCACTGGTGCACGTGGTGTGCAATACAGGGCTCACTAGTGCACGTGGTGTGCAATGCAGGGCTCACTAGTGCACGTGGTGTGTAATACAGGGCTCACTAGTGCACGTGGTGTGGAATACAGGGCTCACTAGTGCACGTGGTGTGCAATGCAGGGCTCACTAGTGCACGTGGTGTGCAATACAGGGCTCACTAGTGCACGTGGTGTGTAATACAGGGCTCACTAGTGCACGTGGTGTGCAATACAGGGCTCACTGGTGCACGTGGTGTGCAATACAGGGCTCACTAGTGCACGTGGTGTGCAATGCAGGGCTCACTAGTGCACGTGGTGTGTAATACAGGGCTCACTAGTGCACGTGGTGTGCAATACAGGGCTCACTAGTGCACGTGGTGTGCAATACAGGGCTCACTAGTGCACGTGGTGTGCAATGCAGGGCTCACTAGTGCACGTGGTGTGCAATGCAGGGCTCACTAGTGCACGTGGTGTGCAATACAGGGCTCACTAGTGCACGTGGTGTGCAATACAGGGCTCACTAGTGCACGTGGTGTGCAATGCAGGGCTCACTAGTGCACGTGGTGTGCAATGCAGGGCTCACTAGTGCACGTGGTGTGCAATACAGGGCTCACTAGTGCACGTGGTGTGCAATACAGGGCTCACTAGTGCACGTGGTGTGCAATGCAGGGCTCACTAGTGCACGTGGTGTGCAATGCAGGGCTCACTAGTGCACGTGGTGTGCAATACAGGGCTCACTAGTGCACGTGGTGT